AGTGTCAAAGCATTCTGGCCTGTTCAGCGAGGCCTTTTGTGTAGGCCCGCTATAACCGCAGGGAAATAGTGCTTAGCTGAAGGTGTTTTTCCCCCCAAATTATCATATGTTCATTTCCATAAAGAGCAGTTTAACTTCAAACTTTAGTGTCCTCATTGCTCTTTTTCTGGGCTTCAGACATTATGAGAGCTGCTGCAAACTTTGGCTCAGCTTGTTCCTCAGCTTCCAGATGTTAGATGACTAAAATCCTTTAGTTAAATAATATAGTTAAAACCATCGATCACATTACTTTGAATAAACAGAAAGAAGTTGTTAGCTGGAAATGAATAATGCCCAGCCGACAGCCAGTGCTGATGGCAGACTAATTACATTTTATCGTACAGCTTAATATATGAGTCTCATGTAGGGAGAAAAGAGCGGTTTTGGTGGGTTGTAGTGAACTTAAAAGAAAAGTAATTAAAGGAAGGAAAGGTGTGTTCTTCTTCTGCCCCTCTCTTAATTCAATGTTTACCTTTGTCTCTTCATTCTTTGAACTCTTGAATTACCAAAATCATCTCTCTCCCTTCCTCTACTCACAATCTCTGTGCATCCCACATCACTCAATAACTTCTAGTCTCTCTTTTTTTTCCCGAACTTCCTCCTGTATTTCCAGTTTCGAGCTTCCAGCCCTTACCCCATCTCTCAGCATATCATAATCTCTCCTTTCCTCGGCGTTGTCTCCCCCTTTCAGGAGGGTGAAGGGTAAGTGAAGATCGTTGGGCCCCGGTGGAGAGGCCCAGACATCGTGGGTGTGTATCAGTGCGTGCGTTTTGTGTGCGCCACATCATTGCTCATCTCTGGCAGCCTTGCTGGCTGTTCCCCGAGCTACAAGCTACAGAATAAATACACTTTAAATCACCACAGACACACAAACAGACACACACATACACAAGCAGCCTGCTCCCCAGCAGCACTTTGCTGCAGTTAAATGAGGGGTCTGGGGAGTTTTGCCGCCAAGTCTTTGGCTACTCTTTCTCTCTCTCTCGCTCTCCGGCTCTCACCTCTCAAATGCAAAGAAATCATGAAGTTATGACAGGCAGACTGTATAACGGGATGTTAAATGTTCAATAATCGTGATTCTCCTCACTGAACAAACCAAACCAGGAACATACAAATGCTGTCAGAGTATCTAGAAGATTTTCTTTTTTCAGAGAGAGCTGTACTGACTGAGTGCACAACATGTCAAGACAATATACTCAAGGGATTTAGATGGATCATCCAGGATCTAGGCCACAACTAGAATACCTTTATTAAAACCTTGTGAGAGTTCATCTCTTAGGTTTCTGGAAAGATGGGTGAACTGGCTCACCGCAGACAAATTTAACGGCTTTCAAGGTCTGTAACCCCACTGGTATGCTCCATTCTGCTGACTTTACTTCTATGAATGTGTGTGAGGGTTTTTATCTTAATTTATTTGTGTGTCAAAATAAATCTGCGATTATGTCGTTTCCAGAGTTACGCATCAACTTTCAATTAGAGTTACGCCTCTAAATTGCATTATTCAGCAAACCAGACGAGCTGCAGTTTACATCAATGAGTGTTACTGTGGCTGAGTTAGGGGAAACATTTTTGTTAAGAAAATATTTGAAATTGTGAATTTCCCTAAAAACAAACAGAAAAACTGCCTCAGTATGCCAAGAAGTGGTTACATCCACAAACCATTTTGTGAAGTGTCAAAAGTCCAGAGATTGACTCTGTGCTTCACAGACCATGTGATTGTCCATAAACCTTTCTCTCATCATCAGAACAATCAGTTACAAGAGGGAATATTGTTGATTGTCGATGGTCTCTCGAACAGTTAATGTCTTTTTCAAAATAACACTTGTAGAGTAACCAGTAAAGGCAAATTATTAAAGATCACATATTATCCTCCTTTTCAACAAGTTTAAATAAGTCTCAGAGCTTTCCAAAACCTGTCTGTGAAGTTTCTTGTTCTAAATCCACTCTGATCCTGTATTTGAGCATGCCTACAAACCCCTCTATTTCAGCCCTGCTCAGAACAGGCCGATTCTGTGTCTGTAGCTTTAATTGCAGGAGAGCTGTGTTTGACCACGCCCCCTCTGGAAGGGGATGTGGCTTGGGCTTTCTTGCCAATGCCCTATTGTTTACTGTGAGAAGGCAGACTCAGAGGGCAGAACAAACACCTAGCTGTGGGAGTATCACCCACCTGGGGGGAGGGATTACTGCCCTTTGTGATGTCATGAAGGGAAAATCTCCAAACGGCCTGTTTGAGGACACATTTTCTGAAAAGTGGAGCAGGTAAAAGACGGAATGCACTTTTCCCATAATTGGGGGGTTTGTGCACATGATGTACGAAAACCATGGTAAAGTGTATTTTGCACAACATGTGACCTTTAAGTCCAAGTATTATAATCATTATGAGGAGACAAAAAATAATCAGAACCCTTATTTTATTTGTGTTTAAAATAAATACCTTCATAAATAACATCCTAACACAACTGTTACAAGCCTTTTTTCCTTTTGGATTAAAAATGAAAAACTGTCTCACTTCAAAAGGATGTCAGATCTGCCCCCATATCCAGTACCATTCTCTATCACTCTCCATCTTCTCTGCAGTGGGCTTATGGGTGCAGGTGGTAATAGCCCCCTGCCTCCCTCTCTTCACTGTTTCTCTCAGTGTCCATTAAAGTGCATAATTCAAACCAGTGGAGAGTTTGCAGAGGGGATAGGACTGTCGTTTTGGTTATGCTTTGATATAACCACATACAGGATGGCTCTTGCTAATATTTTGTCGAGTCTTCGGTTTGGAGGCAGTAACCCTTATCAAAAAGTCTGCAGCCAAACTAGGTTTAGTGTCATTGCAGTGTGTCGGGGCCAGGAGCTTAAATCTGTCTGATAGTGTTAAAATAAAAAGATGCTGGACTGTGATCTGTCTAATTGTTTTTAAATAAGTATATAGTCCAACTGTGCCAATATATAAATGAAACAATGACATCTGACAAAGTAACATTATGCTGCACACAGGAGCACACACACACACACACAGACTATATATATCCCTGACCCAGGGCTGTCAGTGCATCTTGTCCTCATACTGCTCTGTGTCCTTCCCACAGTGTAACATCAACTAGGTTAACCGCAGCTAATACGACACAGCACTGCTGTCCTCAACGTCTCCTCTTTCTATGTATCTCATCCTGTGGACACCATGTGACGATACAAGTTCTACCAAACGGTAACAATAAGCTCAAGGAGGAAAACTGACTTCAAAAAAGAAGAGGAAAGTGTTAAAGTTAAAGTTGCTTGTTGTGTTCCTTAAAGAATGAGTGAACTGGACTGGCTAAAAGTTCAGAATAGGGGGAAGCCCTTTTAGAAAACAAGCATTTTAATGTTTCAATGATGCTCTTTAGTGGCAAAGTCTGGTGAGCTGCCACTATCATCCATATCACTGACATCATGTTACCATTTCTTGTCCCCATTTTTAATTACCTTCGGAGTAAAACAGGAGTTCACTTCTATCGTTGTGTTAGTGCCCTTAGTTCCAGTGTTTGTCTTTTACAGGAGAAATCTACTTTCTGGCAGCTCAATCAATGCTCTGCAGTCAGGAGGTGGACATGTACGCATGTGCCTCATGAGCAAGCAGAAAACTACAGATGTCTGATTCGGCTCTTCTGTAGTGTTATAGGCAGTCATTAAAGGAAGAATATGCAACTTTTTGATCCAGTCGATGAGCACCAGCATGAAACCAAAACAACTCGCGCTGCATTGTTGTGTTAGCATGCTAATGCTAACGATTTTTAGTTAGCTAGTAGCATGTAAATTTACACAAAATGACTGTAATCTAAAAATGCTTACGTGACAATTCAATTAAGCAGTGAGTACAGTATGTTATTCTTCTTTTCTCTGGTCCCTCAATTAAACAACTTTTATACGCGAGGTAATGAGCCGGCCGTCCGTCCTGTTAGTGTAAACAAGCTGTAGATACTGTACGGCTCGGAACACATCACAGACAGTGGGACTCGGGTGTCACACCCATTGTAGACAGTCATGACTCACAGAGTTATTTTCAGAGGATATACCTGATTTTTGCTACATTTATGTGTAAAATATTGCATATTCAGCCTTTAACATAAAGGAAAACTGTCCAAGGTACATAAGCATTATCAACTTTAATGTTGTTGCTGTTGCCTTATGGACACAGCCCGATCATGATCCTTTATGCACTTTGTCAGAAGTGCATGAACGAGCACATCCATGTCCACAAGTCTTGTGTGACAAAACATAACACAGAAACTCCAGAGGCAGAACGGCCTCCAGCGTTTTAAACTATTTCACAGTCATTTTCTGAAAGAGCCCTGCAGAAACAAAGTGTATCCCATAGACACTGTTGTAACTCCAGGCTAAATGAAACTACCGAAAATAATGAATTCCTTAAAACTGAATCCAATAATGACAATTGTGTAATAAATGTAATAACGTTTAGATAAATTATAGCATTTTATGAAACAGTTAATTTAGAAATCTGCATTCAGTAAGTCCTATAATTACTTAAAATGTAGATTGGGTAAATGTGAATTAAGCACTCGCTCTCCAGAGACATCATGGAGCGAGCATTATGGCCTTATCAAATCATTCTCACTTCAGTGTTTGGGAGGATCTTCTTTCTCCCTTTTCTTCATCTGCCCTCTCTGCTTCAGCTTTGGTCTGCTTTCTCATTTATATAAAGAAGGGAATGGAAGAAGAAATAAATAAAATCAATAGTTCTATCTTCCTTTCTCTCATTTTTATTAAATCCTCCAAAACAAACCCAGCCGTGTTCAGCCAGAGTAAGGACAGCTGTCATTGTTAGGGGGGTTATGCTATTAATAAACCTGACGTGCATGTATAAAAGATCAGGCGGTGACATTTTAAGAAAAATATGTAGTTCCTCTCTGTCACTGAAGCAGGCAGTTCAGAGTAAGAAGAGACAGCTACCATGGAAAGAAATTAAAAGTACTTGCCTGAGGCGTTTTTCAGGTAGCCGTTGGAGTCCACTGTGGTGTACATGACATACGGGCCCGGCTGGTTTACACCAAAAGGCTGCAGAGACACAAATGCAAACACATTCAAAACAAAATGACACATTTTGACATGTTGCAAGTTTGTTTATCACATCAGCTGTCTGTCAGAGAGGGTGAAAGAGGACAGGGGGGAAACAAGCAAGGAAAGGGTGGGAGAGAAATACAGCACAGAGAGAGAGAGAGACAGACAGGCATACTGTCACCACAGTGACCTTGAGCAGTTTTTTAGTTTATTTTTGCTAGGTGACACGACAGGCATCTGACCTAGCTTGCTGGAATCTGACTGAGCATAAATGAGTTTGACGGTTGCGTGTTTGTGCCCCTGTGTGGGCGGATACAGAGGGGCTGTCTTATCTCTTCATTACCAAAGGATGACAACTAATGAAGAGATCTGTCGAGCCGCCCTTCGCGTCACATCAGCTAATCACGAGCACACACACACACACACACACACACACACACACACACACACACACACACACACACACACACACACACACACACACACACACACACACACACACACACACACACACACACACACACACACACACACACACACACACACACACACACACACACACACACACACACACACACACAGTGCAGGAGAGACTTGGCCCTCTTTGTGCTGTGACACTAAGCAGTCGGGTGAGAGAGGAATAGAAATGAGGTCAAAAAAAGAAAAAGATAGAGAGAGAGAACGGGGGGGGGTGAGAAAGCCAAAGAGCTGCAGATTAGTGGGCTCAAAGAAACACAGAGGAAGAGAGGTGTGACTAAGAAGAAGAGGAGTGGGAGAGTGAAATGAAAAGATAGAGAGAGTGATGGATGGCAGAGGAGAGGGGTAGAAACAGCCGCGAGCTCCACTCGTCTACTGCATTCATCATGCCTTTCAGTTAGACAACGAGCGGGTGGAGGAGCAGACAGACAGAAAGCAAAAACAACTCGTATACCAGCAGCCTCTTGTTGATGTCAAAGCTAATGTGTTTTGCAAAAGGGCTTTCCACTGGTGAAAGGTTGTATGATGAGTGATGCGTGGTCGCTGCGTTTCTGTCACATTTCTCTGTCCGTCCACATGTGATCATCAGACATGAGCTCTCTGAGAGAAATAAAAGGTGCTTATAGCTAACTGCTCCATCAATTGATGGCTCCATTTAAATTGAAAAGTGGATAGTAGTTTAAAAGCTCAGACCGATAAAATGAAGCAGATTTCCTATCATGGGCGTAGAGTCTAAAAATAAATATAGCCACTGAGATGTCTCCCATTGATCTGTGACAACAGGGGACATCAATGTGTACACGACAAGGTACACATTGCTACACCACTATCCTGACTGAGAGGTCCCTTCTGGACTGATGCACGAGTCCCAGGTTTCCAGTCCTGAAAGCATTCCTGCTTTGTGGTGTATGTTACTTTTGATGGGGCTATAATATTTCAAATGCACATGCTCTATTGAAGAAGACTTTAAACTAGCTATTAAGACCAAAAAGGTTACCAAGGTAAAAAAAAATCTACTCAAAAATATGTGGAATTTACAATCCCTGTGTACGTCTGGTGTCCTTTCTGTTTGAAGCAGGAATATTCTGTAATGTAGCTAGTTACTACTATGAACTACTCTAAAACTAAACAGCAGACTGTTTAAGGGGTGTGTCTATGCCAACATGATCCCTGTTAGAAACAACGTGTAACCCACTAAATGATTTAAATTAGGCAAAGCAAGGACTAGACAAAACAAACAAACACACCAACCAACAAACAAACAAAAATAAAACCTCATAGTCATCTGCATAAAATGATTCACTCGAGTCTAAGTTAAACATTTTCACCTGTTAACATGCAATGCTGTCCAATATGTTTAAAGGCAGGTTGCTTTGGAATTACTGTGTGACAATAGTGAAAATGTCTCCTCTGCATTTCTTGATTGTTGAGATGGAGGACAAATTATTTATTTTCTTAGCCAAGGGGTTAGTTGATACACCCCATGTCCTCCAAGTGGGCGGCCTGGCTGCTGGTTTGAGTCCAAATGTGCTTCTTTTTTTTTTTATAGACTATATATAAAAGTTCATCTTTAGTTGTTACTTTACCCCTGTTGATGTATAATTTTGATTGTCTGTACATTATGTTTTTGGAATCTTTGAAGTATATATTCATCTTATTTACTTAATTGAAAAAAGTGACGTACATGAAGCTAGTGGCTCAAATTCACTGTGAAAGACCAAACCCAGTCTTTGAAAAGCTTTAACATATCAAACTGATGAGTAAGGTCTTGTCCTGTTAAACAGATACACAGTAAAGCCTTGAAGAAAAAGAAAAACTCCCAGCAGGTTTTTGATATTTTTGTGGTCAGCCTTAATGACTGGCGTTCCATAGCCCTCACTCCCATAACTAGCAATGCTTTGAGAGACTGATCAAATCCCCCCCCTCCCCCAGCCCTGACTGTCTACAATTTGCATACCGACCCAACAGAGCAACAAAGGACGACCTAGAGAGTTGGGAAACATATGTGAGGACAGTATCTTAGCATTCAATAGCATAATACCCTCCAAGCTCAACAGTAAGCTCAGGGATCTGGGTCTGACCACAGCACTGTGTGACAATTTTCTGGACTTCCTGGCAGACTGCCTCCGACTGACATTTTCACCTCTGACCCTCAGCACAGGAGCCCCCCAGGGCTGTGTTCTCAGCGCACTCCAATATACTCTCTACACCTACGTCCATGGCAACTCAGGCTTCAAACACTATGGTGAAGTTTGCAGACGACACAGCACCAACTTGCACCAGCTATGAGAAGGCCTACAGAGAGGTGGTGACCACCCTGGTACACTGGTGCCAGGACAACCACCTCTCCCTTAACGTCTCTAAGACCAAGTAAAGGGGTTCATTGTGGATTAAAGGAGGAGGGGAATCACTCACCCAAGCCACCATCAACGAGACAGCATTGATGATATTGAACAGTTTCTGGGGGTGAAAATCTAGGAAATGGGCTAAAAAGCACAAAGTTGCCTGAAGAAATTTTGCGTGATTCCACAAATCCTTAGGAACTTCTACCCGGGCACCTCCAGACAGGCTGCTTTACCGACTGGTTTTGTCTGCTGCACCAGATGGGACCGTAAGGCACTGGAGAGGTTGGCGTGAATAACCCTGCTCATCACTGGGCGTTAGCTGCCATGCCAGCAGGAGCTGAACCACTAGCAATGCCTCAGGAAGTCCCTGAGGGTGATCAAGGACCTCTGCTGCCCCTCAGGTCAGAGGTACAGGACTCCAAAAGAACACACCAGCAGACTAAGGAACAGCTTCATCCACCAGGAATTCAGACTCTTAGATTAATACAAACTTCACAACAGAAGTGCAGTGTACCCCCTTAGTGCGATAAATGTATATTCCATAATTTACATATTCTCTCTGATATATGTATTGTTTTTGGTAACACTTGTCAGCTTGTTAATGTGATTATCTCGTTAATATGTGTTATTTTATTATGTTATATATATAATATTTACCCTTTTAAACGGAGCCTCTAAGCTAACAAGTGTCCCTGTATAACCGGAGTGACACATCTTGAATCTTGAAAATTTAAATGAACTGAATTTTGAGTACAAAATGAGAATCTGCAGAGAAAACTGCAGTGGAAACGACCCTGAAAATAACAAAAAAAAAAAAACTCAAACCGCTCCCCCAAGGACTTCAGTTTGAAATAGGAACACCTGGCATATGTTTTGCCCTTGAATACAAAAGGTCATGCACTGATATTTAATTGGAAAATGCCAAGCAACACAGCAGTATGACACAGGCAGCATAGGTGGTGGCTATTGACTTTTAAAGTCTGTTAATAATATTGTCTACCGGATGGTGAAAATCATATAAGCTTTTAATATACAATGCGTGAACATTTACTTTTTGAGCTTTTCATTTTGAAGTTGTTGTAAAGATTGGCAATTTGCATAAAATGAGGAGCTTATGCTGCCCTAGAGCTCTAAAACACATCACCCATTCAAATCCCCTTCCTTAATTTCCAGACTATAAACTTGATCCTCCACCACACACATTAAGTTTTACCAGTGCTGGATTTATTTCTGTCTTTTTCTATGAATCTGCAGAAAAAAATGCTGAGAGGAGAATCTGTGGGAAGATAAAGATGAACCGCTGGAGACAGTACACCTAGAGCTTGTGAGTTGTCAGAGAGGAGAGATACACAATTATTTTGTGTTGTCATTCATAAAGTGTATACAGAAAGACAGATTTATTACCTTGACATCTTCAGGACAGTCGTTGGAGCAGAGGCCACTGAGCACTGAGGAAAAAAAAACAAGAGATGCAAGAGTTAGACATGCTGCTCAGCTGGTGTTACATGTCCAAAAGAATAACACAATCTGCTGTGGAACAAGTGCCATCTGTGACGGAGCTGTTCCTGCGCCCTGAGGCATCTGTATAAACATGTTTCAAACATCAACTGTGTCAAAGTCGCACAGGGAAATAAACTTTTCTAAAACGATGACTCCGGCTGCACTCTGATTGACAGTCAAAACAACAAATATCTTTTTCTTATTAACTGTACTGAAGCTTACCTCCTATTCAAATTATGCTTTCTAGAATTTAATCATTTTCTGTCTGTGTGTGCAGGTGAATGTGGACCAGGCAGGGGAGGAGGGAGGGCTATGAATAAATTGCCAGCAATGAGAAACATAAAAAATAAATGTGCAAACTATTAGCTCTGCGTGTGCGTGTTTACGTGCATGTTAAGAGGGCATTTCACTTATTTGTGTATACAAGCGGAGCGAGGACGGAATCCGCTGAATTGCTTATCAGTCATTAGAGAAGGGACTTTATTAGCATACTAATAGGGTCCTGGGTCTAGCTTGCCTTGATTTACCTGATGGAGTCACGCTGAAGCCCAATACTCTGCTAATAAGGTCTGCAACCCAGCGCTGTAACAAAACAGCAGCCGAACCCCAAAACACCTATTCAAAGTGAACACAGCAGTGCCCTCTGATCAGCTGTATACACAGTGGGTGGATAAAGCCTCGGGATCAGATGGTTCATCATTAACTCTCCACAAACATGTTCATCACAAACATTTACTGTTCATGTAACCTAAAAAAAAGTGAGGATTATATTATAAAGAATAATTACATGAAATGATAGCTCTTGGTGGGTGACTCTGAATTTAAAATCAACACAAGATACTTGTGCCCTAGTGATGCTTAAGTCACCCTAATATTCAAAAGAAACTGTGAAAGGTTCCATCTTACGTGATCTCCATTCATTGACTCAGAATACATTCTTGTTCGTCACTCCCTACTTCTATTCATTCCTCTATTCATCCTTCTTTATTAACATATCTGAGGCGCACCATTGAGCTTCAGTGAATGTTAACTATTCAGAAAGGAATAAATACAGTGGGTCTTAAGGACAACTTGCACCAACTGAAGCACATGTGTTGTGTAATGGAACAAATATGCCTCCGACTGTACAAATGTCACAACATCTCTGATACAAGCTCGTGTTAACTCACAATCCAAGTCTTTCTGTGAGATGAATCTCTAAACATTGCTTGTGAAGGAAGGCATTCACAAATGAAACTTTCTTGATGATACACAGTCGTTGAAGTTTTCCATGATCATCAAGGTTCAACATTAGCTTTCAAACGTCACACTGATCAAGACATTTGCTGACAAATGCTGTTGCTGGGCTTTCAACCCAATCCATGAGAAACAAGCACACCACTCCTGTTCTTTATGACCTCCACGGTTACCAGTTAGTTCTAGAATTGATTTTGTTGCTTTTTTTTTTAAAGCCTTACATGGTCAGGCACCATCTATCATATCCATTATGTTCCCATTTTTGCTCATCTGTCCTCGTCCATGTTTAAGATCCTATGAAAGAAACCTTCTGAATCTCAACTTGTGTAGTAGATTACCATGATGTCATGATTGACAGCTCTGAATAAGAATTCAGCTCCTGTGTAGCTGTGTGAACAACATCAGCAGAGTACAGCAGAAACAGAAAACGTAACAAACAGCAACAAGAGTCATTGAATTTCCATAACCTTGAATGTCTGCTTGAAACAGACAGAGGAATCTGCTCTGTTGTGAACACTACTGTGCAGATTAATGTTGCAAATTCACAGTGAGTCAGCGTCTGTCACAGGATATATTGGCTTCATCCTGTTCAACAGGAGAAGGTTAAGGCATGTTGTCCATTTGTATATACAGTCTATGTTTGGGCCCCTAAACTTTGTGAATGTCCTGCCAGAGGATAACAAAAAAGTGAAGTTTGTGCCCACTTTTAAATCCTCACTGAACACTTTCTTTTATATGAGGACCTTGTCTTGACTGATGTGCTACTTTTGGTTATTTTATCCATTCAGTCTTTATGTATTTTATTTAATTGTTGTTATTTTAAAATGTATTATTTAAAGGCTAACTATGCTACTCTCATAGTGGATTTTCAGATGAAAACAATGCTCTCTTCAGAAACAGTTCCTTCATCCCTCAGCTCCAGCCTCCCCTCCTGTCTCCACACTCCCCCCACCCCTCGCATCCTGTTTCACTAGCGGAGTAACTGCAGCAGCCGGATGGTAAAGACATGCATCTCAAAGTAGATTCAGTAGTTAAATGTTTGTTTTTTGGACCAAGGATATTTTTTTCTTTGGTTTGGAGAGTCTGTTGGTTCTCTTTCAGGTTTATCTCTTGTGATAGCATTCTTTTTTCTTATTTTTGGACTTGTTAAGACTTTATTTGAGGGGTCAAAACAGTGGATAGTGACCTGCAAGAAAGGAGCCACAGGCCACTCTTGTTAGGAAGTAATTTCTTAACGATATTTTGACATAAAGTACATTTGATTATTGCTATGTCATTACTCAGTATTTTGCATATTATACCTTCAACTGTCTTTTTTTTGCTTCCTTTATCCGATGTATTTTAATGTCTACCTGAGTGGCACCTGGTACCTTTGGCTTTGTAAGGTGCACTATAAATAAAGTTATTCCATTTTTTCCCCGAAGATTTGGTGTTGTCTGCCTGTTTATTTCACAGTCAACAAGGTCAGTCCTGACCGAAAAGTTTCAACAGCTTTTTTCTAAGTCTGATTGATCCCAAATGATGAATCTCACTGATCTCGGTGATTACGTGATTTTTCCATTTGTGCAAACATAATGTTTACGTTTGTATTTTTAGATAACATATCTTATACTAAATGGATGCATTGCCAGTAAATGTCAACACCCATTCCTCACCATAGGATGAACCGGATGTGTTTGGTACTTATACTCTACATCATTCTTTAACACAAGTTCATTAATAACTCCAATACTTCGTTCATGACTGAATATCTGAAGATGAGTGACATTTCAACCCCAACGTTGCTAATCAGCAAGTTTTTGCATTGCCAACAAGTTGAACTAAGATGGTCAATGTTAGCATTCAGGCGCTGATTACAGAATGACTGCTAGCATTAGACTGTCCAAACAAATAGTGACTTATAATACCAATGTTGTATGCTAATGCAGTAATGATTGAGGGCCGAGGACTGCATTGCACCACTTCCCTGTACTCTGATCCCTCGATGAGGTAACCCTTCTGCCATCATTTATGTGAATAAACAAGAGGACTTTTTGTAAACCTTTGATTTACAGACAAATGGCGTACGTGTAGCAAAGGCAAATTTGCTCCTTTGAAGTTCACAAGCTTATTAAGTAAATGCCTGAGGGGGAATTCAGTTGGAGCTCCCATCAAAGACAAACATGTGTGCCTTGACTCTAACTGACCACACCGCATATCAGCCACTGAATAACCTTGTTTAACAGGATTCAGTCAGAAAATGGATCTTAATCAAAGGGGAAAAATAAGTCATCTCTAACCAAGGCCCATGTATTGTTGTCATTCAAGATTGCTTTTTTGAGAATGTTTTTTAGAAACCACTTGGCTGTTGCAACATGAACACTTCAAAATTGATTTTAGGCTATCAAAAAAAAGGTTGTCAGTAACCACAACATAATTTGACCACATTGCAAAAATCTTAATAACCTTTTTATATGCTTATGTTATTGGTAAAGTATGAAAAATAAAGATGTAGAACCTCCGAGTTGTCAGCAGCCAACGGCTTTATTTTGGTGCCCTAAGTTGAGCAATATTGTATACAGGAAAAAAACAACAAATAAGTGACTTGGCTGTGAAGAGATCACGGTGCTAGTGGAGGTCTGACCCTGCGCACCGAAGTGTTCAAAGTCCTGCCTGTAATTATACCTCTCGTCAACTCTGTGCAAACACCACATCAACACATCACAAGTTTTGGACCAAAGTCATCTATGAAGGACACCGATGATCAATAAATCATAGAGATCAAAATATTCACTGCTCGTTTGAATTTCATGCAGTCCGGTGTCAGGCTACAGGCATTGTCACTGACACTGTAAATCAATAATGTAAAGGGATTAGACTGTCACTGATGAAAAATCCCATTTGGGATTATCGGGGAAGAGAACATAGAACATTAGACAGATTATAGATGGAAAAGCTACAACACACTCAGTTTACAGCACAGTTTAGTGTACTGCATTCCTTACAGTTCATTTTGCTTAATACTTTAATACTCTACACACTGGAGAATATATGCTTTCACTTCAGCAACCAGTTAAGAGAGTGTTCATGATGCACTTCACAAAGTGCATCTCAATTTAATAAAGCCAGCCTGTTCTATGGTTGCCACTGTATCAGACTTGTAAACCTCTGTATGATTCTTGATACTGAATATGACTGATGCTATTTAAAGGCTTTATGCTTTTCGATACTATTGATCATTAAAATAACAGAAATTGTGTCATTTAATGTGCCATTGAAAAGTACTGAATTATCGAAGCATTTTGACAATCTTAGCCAGTTCTCACTAAAATCTTTCCCAGTATAGAGGTTTTGTCAGTCATGGGTATTTTACCAGTAATTATTCCAAGCTGCCCTATATTAAAATCTCGGCAAGAAGTCGGGTAGAACTGATGTGAGAACGCAGCAGGACATTTTAATGACATTTCAATGGAAGCGAGCAGGCAGGGATGATGATGTACTCACACGACCGGTGAACAACGGTCGGATCGCCTTGCACATAGTGAAGTATCTTCTAATTCTTTTTTGCTTGCAAGTATGTGCTTTACCAATTGCTTGCTGAAAATGTTCAATAATATGTGGCAACTGTTATTAAACCAAAAACTGTCATCATAGCATTGGACTCTGTTGCCTTGTCCGCCATTTCTGCATGTCCTTTTTATTTATTTGTTTTAAAAGGGACAGTGTACATTAA